TTTCTAATTCCTGACAATAATGAAATCCATACGTCATGAAGCCCGTGGCTTGTCAGGGAATAATAAACTGGTTAAATAATCAAATGTCAAGTAGCATCCTTGGTTTCCATTCAGAGGAATACAATTTCAGATAATTTAGCACAATATTGGACTGCTAACTAAAACTGCCTTTCTTTTTAGCCCAATTACTTAAATTTCTCTGGCATTTAATCCTCAGGGGTTACTTTCTTTAGAGGGTAACTTACATGGTACAAATCCACCAAGAAAGTCACTTTGAAGTATATCTTCTACTCAGGGAATATGTTCTGTTTTCTTACATCAATTTTCCCAAATTAAAATAATTTGCATACCATCTTCCCCATCTTTGCTATTCCCACGTATCAACACAGGATACTTCTGTGATTAATTTTTAATCATATCCAGGTACCACCTGGACTATTATTTACTTAATATATTTTATTTAAATTAATTCACTTTTAAATGTTAATATATTTCTTTAAAGAAGAACACTTATGTCACTGATGCAGAAGACAAAGCAGCACCACCAGTCATGAATGGAAGGTAACACAAATTAGAAACTGTTATTGCTTTACCTGTTTATTTGTTCATATGTTTACTGACTGTGTCCTTTACTAGAATGTCCACTCTACGAGGCCAAAGCCAGATCTATGTCAAGGCTGTAGCCCCAGCCTAAGGTGAACACAAGGAAGGCATCACAGGTATACTTGTGGAGGGTGTGCAAGTGCCTACCCCTCCTGTCTTTCCCTTACATCTACACTTCAAAGGAGACATTCAGAAAAGGTATTCTCTTTCCATTTAAACCACTCCAAGGCCCAGTACACAGAAAACATTTTTGGATAAGTGAGATCTAAGCAATGCTATGAAATTCTAATTGGAGGCTCTTGTCTGCAGAAGACGCAGAGCCTGAGGCCTCTGGAGGTGTTAACAATCTACTAGAACCAAATAAAAACATTCTCCTGAACCTGATCAGAACTGATAAACAAATGGAAAAGCAGTTACTTCCTTATCACATGACTTGATTTTACTCAAAGCCATGTCTTGATAAAACCTAACATAATCTGTTATCAGCAGAGCTAAGAGTGCTGTCTTTTGAAAAACACCTGGCATAGGAAGAAAAGTCTGCTCTGTTTCATAGGAGGTGGACAAATATATCTGACTTCTTGAATCCACAAAGTATTTCTCTTCTCCATTCTCATGCCTTCCTGAGATTGCCTGCCTAAAGAAACGATTTCAATTACTTCTGCCTCAGCACCTCCATTGCTTTCCCACAGAAGCAGAAACAATGTATTACATATGGAGACAATATTCTTTGAAATAAATATATTGCTTGAAAACTTGTGATAACATATTTTCCTGGCTTTCCACGTTAAAACCCCGGGGAGGAGGACAACTGAATTGAGAGGATATATAGTCTGCTTGAAAATATCCCACATGTAGCACCCAGATTGATAAAATGAAGGACTAACAGAGGACACACACACACACACACACACACACACACACCATTTTTTCCAATCACAAAGTATATTTAACTCATGAACACAGCATTCTTATATTATGCACCTGATCCAAAATGATCATGCCAGGCAGGGCCCTGGTTGTAACTGAAGAGATAGCACTGGCTAAGGAGGTGAGGGAGAGCTTAGAACTTCCATTCCTAGGTTTGGACAATAATAGACTAGCATTTCCAATGGATGCTAATAGGTATGAGTTGAAATAAGTTTGGGAAACTCATGAATAAACAAAGCTAAATAGGTTTATTCACTGTTGGAAATCTTCAAAGGTTTTTAAATGCTGATGAACACTGAAAAACTCAGAAAGACATGTAATGTCTTGCATTTCCCAAACTTAATCATGGCACCACTCTCCCTGCCCTTGTTTTTATTGGAGTCGTCTCTACATTAGAGTTCTAAAAAAATACACCCTTGGACAAAGTGGGTTATGCGATGTACTTCTGGATTTGTGACTGTACTTGGTAAAAAACAAAACAAAACAACAAAACAAAAGTCAAATTCCTTGTAGACATGATGGGATAAGATGTGGGTTTCCAGTTACTGGGTAAAATTCCTAGTAGCAGCAACAATAGAATTAATGAGTAACAAATAAACTGGCTTGAATTGAATTTTGATTTTAGAATGTATAAATAAAGTAGGGGCATCGGGGGGCTGTAAGAATAGTCAAAGATGAGATTCAGAAGATGAGTAGGGCAGGAAAAGGGCTAAACTTGTCAGATGACAAAGTGGAATTATTAGGATAGATGAAAGATAACCCTCAAAAGGATACTTTTGGGGGTAATCAAAATCAAGTAGCAGACATGATAGCTGGGGATTGGTAATGGGAACAATTATAAGTAGAAGTAGAGAAGAAAAGGAGAAGAAATACAAGTTTCAAAGAAAAAAGAATGACAGAGAGGATTTTGAGTAAGTCCAAACTAGGGAGAGAGGAAGAAAATGTACCTGCACCAACAGGGTCATTCATCCAACCAGATAAAGCCAGAGGCAGAGAAAAACTTCCAGAACTGAATGATGACAAAGAAAAAGGTAAAGAAGAGAATTGGGAAAAGAATTGTGGATTTAGAAGGAAGATGAGTGGAGGTTTAAAGAGAATTGATATAGAAAGGATAAAAAAAGAGACAGCAAGAAATACAAGCATTGCTAGATTTCAGACTCTGGGTATATCTCTTTGGGATACTAAGAAATGGCAAATACAGGGCACTTATGCCTTTTTTTTCTCCTATGGCAGACATAACAAGTTCATCATGTACTATTTTCCTCTGAGTATAGATTTGCCCTCAGAACTCTTCTAACACAGCACTCAAAGTAGCCACTACTGACTGATTTGACTTGACCCTAGCCATGAAACTTGCATTCTTAATGTATTTAAAAACAAACAAGCAAATCCTCTGTGAGGTTTTAGTAATACCTGCTCACTGATGGAAGAGAAATAAAATATTATACTTTTGGCTAGAAAAGCAAAATGTTTCAGTGTGAGATATTTATTCATATGGACATAATAATGCACATGTGTGGATATGAGTAAATACATTTATGAGATATGAGTATTTCAAGTAGGTAGACCAAAGTGTTCCATATTTATTTGTAATCTGAAACTCTGTTTTAAACATTCATAAGCACAGGAAAATCAGCTCATCATTTACCCTGGCAGCTGAAACTTTTAAACCCAATAAAATGATATGAATTATGTTTTAAGTTAAAATAGTTCATATGAAACAACAGCCTGTTAGAATAATCAGAGCTTTCTCCTTCCTTCTCTATCTTATGACACCATATTGGGCCCATCATCTAAAAAGTTGGCAGAAACATCAAATAGGTTTTTCTTCCCCAACACATGACACATTTTTAAAAGCATGGATAAATAATGCAGCATAACATAATACATGATAGCATTGATAGCTATCAGGCCATGGTGACAGGTGTGGGAGAAATTAGGATTTTTATCAAAGGCAGGCAGTAAAAAAGAAACTGCATTCATTTTCAGTTTAAAACTAAGTTTAAAAAAAGGGAGGAAGGATAGTGTGTGACAAGTTGTATTGGTTTGTTTCTTCTTGCTTACATTCATTAATTTTGCCCAGCTTCTGAGATCTGAGGCCTTTGCCTATTCATGCAAAGAACCACTTGAAGGCATACAATGCCCTCAGATTTGAACTATTTTGTTTGAACATGCTGGTAAGTTATTCATGTTCTGCTAAACAGTTCATAATGCTCTGGGGAAGAGAGGAAGTACATTGGTATCAGGAGTTACCGTTTTTTGACTTTTATGAATTAATAAAAATAAAAAAAGAATGCTCATTAGTCTAGGCTGGCTTAATTGAGACAGAAAAGGAAGAGAAAGAGGCAGTGGGTAGGGAGGGAAAAAGGCAGTGACCTCTCCAGAATTGTTGAGGCCTGAGATTCTACTGACCCAAATGAATTGATCATCATCACTCTTATGAACCACTGCCATAGAATCCTAGCTGGTCTCCCGCATCAACTCTGGCTCACTCCGCTGCGGCCACAGTGATCTTTTTAAAACACATATCTAATCACCTATTCCTGTACTTTCCTCTCCATGGTCTAGCATGGCCCTTCATTGTGTGGTCCCCTCCTGCCTCACTGACAGCTTCTGGCATACCTTGTTCTCTGAACTCTAGCCCCACCAACCTTCCTTCCATTCTGCTTTCCTACAGGACCTTTGCTGACCACAGGGCCTTTACACAAGCTGACTCTGCCTGGAATGCTCTTTCTATTCCCACCCCATCTCACTCAACTTTTATAATACTAGCTCGAATGTCTTATAGCTCCTAAAGAAGGCCTACTCTGACTCTGTCCCCACAAAGTGATTTAGGTCCCCTGCTACCTCCTCTCAAAGCACTCTTTCCTTTTCAGCATTTATAACTATTTGTAATTATATATTTATGTGATTATATTTCTGATCCTTCCACTCAATGGTGAGCTCTGTAGGGCTACAGCAGTGACTATCTTCCTCTCCACTGGGCAACACTACCTTGTACACACACACTGAACATTTGACAAATATGTGTTGACCAAATGAATTAATGTATTATATCTAATATAACACACTGATATACTGACATAGTCATAACTGTGGCACATAGAGAAAGATTTTGAAAAAATTGCTTATACCATGAACCAAATGTGATTTAGCAAATCTTATAAAACAAATTTGTATCAAACTCTCCTACACATCGTATCAAAGGATTGAAGCTGAGGTGAATATATAAAGCCTCCAAAAAGGAGATTGTTTTTTTACTTTCCTTCTGTTCTCTGCTCTTAAAGAACTGGAATCCTTATTATGGCTGCTGAATAAGAATGTAATCAAGTCATCTTGTTTGGAAAACAAACAAGGTACATGCCTTCTAGAACCTTCTGGGGAAACCAGACCTTTAACTTGGAGTTAGACAAAATGGTGCCAATGAGAACAGCCTTCTGGAAGATGAACTGTGGAGGAGCAGAACTTACGTTGGTTTAGAAGCCTCAGCCTGGTCAGTCTGTAGTTTCTCTCCTCCTTCCACCTCCATTGTGCAATATACAATGCGATTGGGAGCCAAGGATTTGAGGCCTTGGACTTCCATGATCACCACCTGGAAAGAGAATCACACATGGTGGCGGTTACTGCCAAAGCCCATGGACAGCATCCCTCAGAAGAAAATATAGAGATGGGAAGAAGTTACCAAATAACCCAAAAGGTATCTGGCGGCTTTTATCAGTTTTCTAACAGTCAGGCTGGTACCAGTCTAGCATGAAGATACCATTCTTCATAGTGTAACTGATTGCCTCCCGGATGGAAAGACAACCCTCACTACTTTAGACGCTCACAGGGGCTAGACAGGTAATGTGAGATGGGCTGCTTGTTCCCTGGGTTGAATGCATAAGATCATTTTTCATTTCTGCAAAGAAACAGGCTCTCTCTTATTTTCTTTAAAAATAGTCTAGCTTTTAATTCAGAACTTGGAAGAGACAAAGGCCCAGAAATTCACTTTTCTCTTTTACAATGAGATAAGTGATAAAACAAATGCTAAGATAAAGGGCAAATAACTATTCAGCATTAGAGTTGGAGATGCAGAGGGAGTAGTGAGGCCTGGGGCAAAAGAGGAGAGCATATGCTCCATCTAAACAGAGCAGTTGGTACCCAGTTGCAGTCCATTGTGGCCTTGTCTTTCCTTAGTCTGGAGTTGCCAGATACTGCAATTTTTCCTACCAGAAAATGGAAATCTGAATCAGAATCAAAGTCAGAAATCTGATTTTGAAGTTTTGACAATAATCCAAAAAGGGAGGAATAAAATACACAAACTCTGGGCAGGCCAACATTGTTGAATCAAAACAAAAACATGTCTGCAGCTGCATACTCTCTGTTCTAGACTGAGGAAAAAAGCTGGTGTTTTGCTGGACCAACATACATCCTTTACAATTCCTGGCACTTCCCACCACTACCCTTAACTCCATTCAATCACCTGCTATTCTCATATCCAGTGGTATGTCCTGTCATTTATCAGAGGGGAGAGGACAGGAGGGGAGGATAGGGCAAATATACCGATTTAAAAATCTGAAACAAATGACCTGCATCAGGGATCTATAGTAAGCAAGGGATATAAAAGTATCACTCAATTGTACTCCAAAAGAGGTAATGGCAGGACACACAGAGAAGGATATGGTTGTGCAAAAAAGGTACACTTCTTTCTTTTTTTCAAAATTTTTATTTAAATTCTACTTAGTTAACATGCAGTGCAATATTGGTTTCAGGAGTAGAATTTAGTAATTCATCACTAAAATACAACATCCGGTGTGTACACTTCTTCAATGGGCTTGATTCAAGGAAGTACAATAGGGCCTTAGTGCAAATCAGAAATATCTGGAGAGCTTACTAAACCCAGAAACTGCTGGGCTCCACCCCCAGAATTTCTGATAAGCAGGTCTGGGATGGAGCCCAAGACTTTTTATTTCTAATAATTTCCCTGGTGCTGCTGATGTTGATGCTGATGATCCAGGAGCCATACTTTGAGAACCACTGTATTACTCATGTGATGTTGGGCAAATGACTTGGCTGTGAAGTCATTCTACTTTTCTTTCAAATCTCCTGAGTCTCAGTCTCTTCATCTGTAAAATGGGGGATAATAATGTATGTCCTATATCCCCTGTTGTGTGAGGACCAAATAAGATGATGTAGGTAATTGAAAATTTTCATACTGGGAAGAATCATACAAATGAAAGGAAATGCGAGGCACAGTAGAAAGAACAGCATTTTTTGTAATTTAAAAGATTTGAGTTCAAATCCTGAATCTGATCTTCACTAGCTGTATAATCATTTATAAGTTCCTTAACCTCTCTGCGGCTTTGTTTCCACATCTGCAAATGGCTCAAAAGATTGTTGTGAGGATTCACTGAGTGAATGATGCAAAGTAGGCTTAATGGCCCTCTACGTATGCCCATTGTTTTCCCTCAGAGTACTCCCCTGGCGCAAGGCCGTGCCACTGGGCAGCCTGGGCCTCAGTTCTCCTGCTGCAGTTAACTGCTCTATAGTGTCCTTCCCAGCCATGCAATTCTATAAGTTCATGAAACATGTCTTGTACCAACCAGCAAATTCAAACTCAGTCTGCCCTGATGAGATGATAATCCTCTATCTCCCTTTTCTCATCCCCCCTCACTGTGTCACCCAACACACAGATGCACAATGATTTTTGTTGGCAGTTTTAGTATATGTGCAATTTAGTGTTCCAAGTAAAAAGTATTTGGGAGCCCTAGGGAATTGCATTCTGTACTTGTGCTTATAAGTTAAAGCCTGTTTGAATCATGTACACATGGGAGTGTGGTTGGAGACTCACTCACATCTATATTTCAGATAATCAGCTGTATAATATTGAGTACAGATAAAGAATTAGGAAATTATGGATTTAAAAGCTTCATGAAAATCAATAAACCACTTTTTTCCCACTTTCTGGGGAAAGACAAGAGGCAGTAGGGAATAAATTGCCACCTCTAATTGGCAATAATCAAATTCAAAGACACCTAAGAAAAAGCATTCAGTACCTCAGGTGGCAGTATTAAAAAAGAAAGAAAGGAAGTAAGTTTCTGTGAAATTACACTGATGATTTTTTCACACACCAAGTGCCCTATATTTAACTGAATACTGCCTCTTCCAACTGCAAAATACATGTTGAAACACTGTAATATGACTATCTTGAGCTGAATTGAGCACAGTAAAACAAATTATTTGCAGTTAATTCACAGCAAGCCTTAATGATGTTCTAGAAAATTAATGTAGTCTTTACAAATCCTAATTAAATCTACAGAAATTGTATCTATTCTCTTGGTCTCCCCAAGTCTAAGGCTATCATAAAATCTTTGTGGGGTTCTGAGTTTTAATAAGTTATGAATGGTTCTCAAACTTCGGAGTGCATAAGAAGCACCTGGGTGGCTCATTAAAATGTACATTTCGTGGTGTACTCCACCCAGAGATTTTTTTTTTTCTGACACCATTGAGGTATATTTTACAGATCATATAATTAACCCATTTCAAGTGTACAATGCAATGATTTTAGTAAATTTACTAAGATGCGTGACTATCATCATAAATTAGTTTTAGAACATTCTTATCTCCCCCAATAATGTCCCTCATGTCCATTTCCACTTCCTGTTCCAGGTAACACTAATATAATTTCTGTTTCTAGAGACTTGCCTTTTCTAGACATTCTATATCAATGGAATCAAACAACATGTGTCTCTTGTGTCTGCCTTCTTTCACTAAGCAGAATATTTTTGACATTCATCTAAATCAAAGCATATATCTGTAGTTTGTTTCTTTCAAGTGCTGAATAGTAACCCCTTGTATGGATGTACCACATTTTGTCTATCCATTTACCAGTGGATACACATTTAGGTTGTTTCTATTTTTGGCTAGTAAGAATAATGCTGCTATAAACATTTGGGGAGCAAGATTTTATGGGGACATGTGCTTTCATTTCTCTTGGGTAGATATCTAAGAGTAGAATTGTACTCTACAAGTGGTAAATTTATGTTTAGCTTTTTGAGAAACCACTAAACTATTTTTTTTTTAATTTTATTATGTTATGTTAGTCACCATACAATACATCATTGGTTTTTGATGTGGTGATGCACGATCCATTGTTTTCGTATAACACCCAGTGCTCCATGCAGTATGTGCCCTCCTTAATACCCATCACTGGGCTAACCAATCCCCCCTCACCCGCAAAACCTTGTTTGTTTCTCAGAGTCCATAGTCTCTCATGGTTCAACTCTCCCTCCAATTCCCCCCCCATTTTTCCCTTCCTTCTCCTAATGTCCTCCATGCTATTCCTTATGTTCCACAAATAAGTGAAACCATATAATAATTGACTTTCTCTGCTTGACTTATTTCACTTAGCATAATCTCCTCCAGTCCCATCCATGTTGATGTAAAAGTTGGGTATTCATCCTTTCTGATGGCTCAGTAATATTCCGTTGTATATATGGACCACATCTTCTTTATCCATTCATCTGTTGAAGGGCATCTCGGCTCTTCCCACAGTTTGGCTATTGCGGACATTGCTGCTATGAACATTGGGGTGCATATGGCCCTTCTTTTCACTACATCTGTGTCTTTGGGGTAAATACTCAGTAGTGCAATTGCTGGGTCATAGGGTAGCTCTATTTTTAAATTTTTGAGGAACCTCCACACTGTTTTCCAAAGTGGCTGTACCAACTTGCATTCCCACCAACAGTGTAAGAGGGTTCCCCTTTCTCCACAACCTCTCCAACATTTGTTGGAGAAACCACCAAACTATTTTCCAAAGTGAATGCACCATATTTCCCCCGCCTCGAGATTTGGGTCAATAGGTCTGGGTGATGCCAGGAATCTGCACACTGAACCAGCTTCCCAGGCAATTCCAATGTAGCCAGATTAGATCCACTCCCTAAATTATATGTATGAAAATAAAACGTAAGTAGAAGTTACAGAGGATTTATTGACATGTAGAGCATTCTGCCACATTCCCAGTCTGAACAGGTTCTTTCTTTGGGTGATGAGATCAACTAAAAAGCCTTCACTGCAACAAGAGGCTCTCTACCGTGTAGCCAACAGGAGAGACAACAGGAAAGAAAATCTACAACTCATCAAATGATGCTAGATATTTCCCTCATAACTGTGACACAGGATGCCAAAATCTTAAACTTTCTAAATTGCATAAGGTCTTTACAAAATCCTTGATCATTACTTTAAGATGGAAAATAATGCAGGATTAAATTTAGTAGGTGGTTCTTAAGACTGCATTTCCTTAAGGAAAGCATGGGCTCCTGGAGATGGGGAAGCACTTGCTGATTAGCTGACCTATGCTGAGTAAGCTGTTATTTTAATAACTGCTCTGGGGGTGCAACGACGAAAGCAAGTTGATTGTGGTGCATCTAATCACCCACATCCTCCTGGCTATGCCAGGAAACTTTCAAGGGTTTAGGTCTTTTTACCTCCAGGGAGAAAGACAGCACAACGTCTGATTTGGAGAGCTGGTTCTCACTCTCCTCACCCATGTCGATGATGGAAGCATTGTGGCTGCGTTTGAGTTTCTGCAGCTTGAACTCGCCGCCTTTGGACACTGGCATGCTCTCCAAGTTGGCCATGAGCAGGTTGACTGATGACTTCAGCTCCTCGATGTACATGTTCTCCATTTCTTTGGATACAAACTTGGGAAATTTGCGCTCCTTATAAAGAAAAAGAAAAGTATGAGCAGAAAAGTAAATAGAGACCTGATTTACATAGAAGGTTTTCATCTTATAGCCCAGAGTTATAATAACATCTACCACTGGTGAAATTTTGCTCAGATATTGTGGTATTGTGCTAGAAAAATGTTCACCCTAGTTGAGTAGATAGCTGCCTGCCTTCTAGTCATTTACAATCTCTAACAGCTAAGAGATATATACATAAACATATAGTAAGAAAGAGTCAAATGTTTTATTATAGTTCGATTTTTTCCCCAGTTTTCTCCAGCAAATTTGATTTGTGGAAAGAAAAATGGGGTGATATTTTTTGAATCTGGTTTCGGTTGAAACAGTTTCTTTTTAGCAAAATGCAATCAGTTGTTTTTAAGTTTGGAGACAGAAAGACACCCTATTTCTGGATACGTATAGAGATTTTCTCACATGAATAATTCAAGAGGAGCTCATTTGAGATGTTTCAAACATAGCCTGTAGCTATTTCTAAAAGGAATAGTAGAAAGAATAGTTACTGTTTTCAAGAAAAATTGAAAAAAAATAATGAAGTGATGAAAAACGTGATTAGAATTCTTTAGAAAAGAAGATAAAGCAATTCAGTATCAGAACTGACCTCTATTTTTTTCCTTCCTTGCTTATGAATTCAGTTGTAATAGCAACATGCTTTAGTTATGCTATTTTTTTCTTTATACCTCTAGGTTGTCCAAGTGCCTTAAATATATTTTGGATTAATCACCTTCTCAAAGAATCATTTCCCACTTGAAACATGAACTTGCCCTCCTTAACTCTGGTCCATACTGATCAGGTCAAGGTGCAAGCCACATCAGTTTGACTTTTTTTTTTTTTTGCAAGTGACAGAAAAATCCAACTTGGAACTGGCTTAAACAATGAAGGGAATTTATTGGTTTGAAATGTCCTGGGGTAGACCAGCTTCCAGTGAGGCTGAAATCAGGACTCAGATGATATCACAACTGAATTTTTCTCCCAAATCTTGGTTTGGGTTCCTTTGTGTTGGCCCAATGCTCAGTCTGGCTCCCCTTAATGTCATAGAAAGCTTGCTAAAGATCTGCACCTTATTTTTTTTTTTTTTAAAGATTTTATTTATTTATTTGAGACAGAGAGAATGAGAGACAGAGAGCACATGAGAGGGGGGAGGGTCAGAGGGAGAAGCAGGCTCCCCGCCGAGCAGGGAGCCCGATGCGGGACTCGATCCCGGGACTCCAGGATCATGACCTGAGCCGAAGGCAGTCGCTTAACCAACTGAGCCACCCAGGCGCCCAAGATCTGCACCTTATAACATCACATCATGCTATCTAAAGGAAGGGTGAATATCTCCTCTTGTACTGTCTTTTATCCCAAAATTCTCACCCAAAGTCTGACTTATGTACATACCCTGAACCACCTTTTTTAAGGCTAGGGATATGTTGTGTTGAGTTGCTTAGGAATGAGTTATTTCCGCCATCCCTGTGGCTGAGGGTAGAATTCCACCTGGATCACATGGGACATGAATTGGTTCACCAATTCTGGGTGGCAAAAAAAATGTGTAGTATGTGGGCATCTGACCCAAATCAACCAACTAATTCAATTAAGTGGGCAACAGTCAACCAGATTTACTCTCTTAAGCAAATGAACTGAGAGATATTGAGATTGCAATTAGCAGTGCAGCTAAAATAGCAAGATCACGTAGACTCATAGGTAGGGGCCATATTGGAACATGTGAAAGAATAAGACACTTGACAAACAGAGAGAAGGAGGTAGAGAGAGGGACAGAGGTAGAGACTAACAGACGGAGGAAGGAAAGGCAGGAAGGCAGGAGTAAGGGAAGAGGAGAAAAGCTATTTAGAGTCACAGAAAGGAGCTCTGACGTTTATTGGTCTTCTAATTCCCATAAAGCCCACCTATTTCCCCTGTTGGCTCCTTTGAGATACTTTTGTTTTCCTTTCAATAACTCTCCCCACACACTAGTTAGCTAGAAGGGTATTTCTTTCTTGCTACCATAGAAGTTTCACTAAAATTCATATAGTAAATCCTCTGTATAGAGCTTGGAGATGCCTTTGTGCTATGCCAGTCTTCTTCCTACCTAGGGGCTGCCATAAGCATTCCCCTTAGCCCCTTGCTGCCCTAGGTAATTCTCAGGCATCTTGTCATCTTCTTTATTTCAGCCTCAAAATTTTATTTTCCTAGGTTGAATCCCCTTATTCTACTTTCTTATAATACCTAACTCAACCTTTTGGTAAAACTTATTATAATTAATGGAAAATGGTGAAATTTATTTATTGTTTATCTTTCTTGCTGGGCCATGATGTCTGTCTTGATACCCTTGGTGAATTCTTATTCTCTAGAATAATCTTCGGCACATAGTAAGTATTTAATACATATGAGTTGAGTGAATGAATGGATGGCTTGTCAAAAGTCCATATTAAATATCAATGCAGCTAAAACTCAGTCACGAGGTGGAGGTGGAGAGATGATGAGATAGTTCTGGAAGAACAGTGAGATTCTCCTTTTTCATGTAAATGAGCAAGGGGGTCTGAAATCTACCCAGCAACCTTTGAGTACTGGTTCTTTCTGGAACCTCTTAGTATAATCACTTCCTGCTTAATGGTTGGGCTCAGCCCACCACATGGTGCTTTCTAAACACACTGTGGGTAAAAGTTAAGAGGAGAAGGAGGATGGACACCTCTGAAATAACATGATAGGCTGATGAGCTCAATGAGAGCTAGTAATTGTTCAAGACAAGAATCTTATTTCTTCAAAACTTTTGCACAGTGGGCTTCCTTTTGCTTCTTACCATTCTTGGACTCAATCCAGGATGATTGTGAGCCTCAGAGACTAGGGTAAACTTTATGAAAAAGGCCACAGAGATGTGGGGACTTGCCTGCTGGTCCACCATCACTTAGAAAATATTTACCACTGCCAACACTGTGCCTGGTTTAGTGTTAGGCACTGGGGTGGGGGCGAGGATCATGATGAAGGGATGTTGACTGTTCCCCTGAAGGTTAAAACCAGTGGGGAGAAAGATCTATTGGAGAAACATCAAGGTAGATGCTGTAACAGCAGTGTATGAGACATGAACTCTTGCTGAGAGAATCAGGAGTGGCTTTCCAGAGGAGGTGACCTCGGGCTGAGAGTCTGATGGATGAGGAAGAGTTTGCTACCAGGTTGAGTTGGCTGGGACAGGATCATTGGTCCTATCTCCTTTCCATGGAAAATATACAAGCAACCATGAATCTAAGAAGGTCTGTATTACTGTACATGGCCACAAAATATTTCCTCATCTCCTTTTGAACATGGCCCTTGTTGAGAGCAAAGGGAAGAGTGAGGGAAGTTAAAGTGGTCAAAAAGTGGTCCCCAAGGCCATGTTAGAAGATACCAAACAGGTTACATACCAGCAGCCTGAGGTCTGTTACACTGACCTCTTTCCTCCTCATGTTGGGGCTCAAACCTCATAACTCTATGGGATTCTTAGGAAACTGGATAAGTGGTATCTCTCATTTTTTTTTTTTTTTTAAAAAAAGACATTTATTCAGCATCATGATCAGACTATTACATTTAGCAATCAACAGCATGGGTGCAAAAAAAAAAAAATCTACATTAAAACCCTTTGTTGGAATGCTTTACACTTTCCACAGAACAGAAACTAAAATAACCTGTTATACAATTAGTCACAAATACAGTCCTCGAGTTTTTTGCCCATACACATGAGTATTGTCTAAAACATGTCTTCTTTGTAGCAGCTAGGCCCTGCCACCACTGTGCTTGGCTGAGTTCACAAATCTGTTGTAACCTGTAGCTTCCCTGTCACTTCTCTGGCTCTCCTCTCCTGCTAAGCTTTGTTTCCTGGCAGTAATTAGAACCTTCTGCCACTGCCGTAGCTACTGCTGCTGCTGGAACCACCATAGCCACCTTGGTTTCGTGGTTTGGCAAAGTATTGGCCTCCACCACCATAGGGGCCAGAGCTTCTGCCTCCAAAATTTCCTCCTTTCATGGGTCCAAAATTTGAGGATTGATTGTTGTAATTGCCAAAATCATTATAGCTTCCGCCACCTCCAAAGTTGCTTCCATCATTACCAAATCCGTCATAGCCATCCCCACTGCCACCATATCCACCACCACCTCGACTGCCACCAAAGCCACCTCGACCACTGAAGTTCCCTCCACGACCAAAGTTGTCATTCCCACCAAAACCACCTCCACGACCACCACCAAAGTTTCCAGAACCACTTCGACCTCTTCGGCTGGATGAAGCACTAGCCATCTCTTGCTTAGATAGGGCTTTCCTTACTTCACAGTTGTGGCCATTCACAGTATGGTATTTTTGAATGACAATCTTGTCTACAGAGTCATGGTCATCAAATGTTACAAAAGCAAAACCTCTCTTTTTGCCACTGCCCCGGTCAGTCATGATCTCGATCACTTCAATTTTCCCATACTGTTCAAAATAATCTCTTAGATGATGTTCTTCAGTGTCTTCTTTAATGCCACCAACAAAAATCTTTTTCACAGTTAAGTGGGCACCAGGTCTTTGAGAATCTTCTCTTGAGACAGCCCTCTTTGGTTCCACAACTCTCCCATCCACCTTGTGTGGCCTTGCGTTCATGGCTGCATCCACCTCCTCCACAGTGGCATACGTGACAAAGCCAAAGCCTCTGGAGTGCTTGGTGTTTGGATCTCTCATTACCACACAGTCCGTAAGCGTTCCCCATTGCTCAAAATGGCTCCTCAAACTCTCATCGGTTGTTTCAAAGCTCAAACCTCCGATGAAGAGCTTCCGCAGCTGTTCAGGCTCTTTGGGAGACTCTGACTTAGACATGACGGCGGTGGGAGGGGAGACTTTAACGATGCTTACTCGGCGGCGTCCACGGGCAGAAAGGCGGTATCTCTCATTTTTTACTGACAGCTGCTGGCCTTGCAGTTGTCATGGAGATGAAGAGAAAAACCATTGTGTCTGTGAAATGGATTTTTTCCTGCTAATCCGCATTGAGAGACCT